AGCTGCCCCACAAGGAGCTGGAAAGCAGGATGTGGTGGAAATAATACGAACAGACCTGCCTCAAATTGCGCTGACCCTTACTAGGTATATGATATTGGGCAACTTAATTTCTTGAAGCCTAAGTTTTTCTGAAGCATGCAAAATATGTAGTATATGGAAATTTCCACCCACCTTTCTTCCCCTGTAAGCATAATCTTTTCCCACGTGGAAGCAGCCATGTTAAAAAATTGGGGGGAAAACAGCCTGTATTTGGTGGTGTTGAGGGTGTTGGTTTTGGTTTTAACCTAATGCAGATAGGAAGTTAAAAAGAACCTAGCAGTATTCCCAAAATGAAACCAATGTACACTGAAAAGGTAGTGAAGATGATAAATTTCAGTACTTTTCATTAATCCTTCCTTTGCCTTGTTTATTTTACTTCTGAAAACCTAGGTTTGACAGTTCTCTCGAAGACCTCCCTCAGAGTGGACCTCACCCACCTGCAGCTTCTCAGGTTTTACATATTGGTGGCCAAGTAGCCACACTTTCTAAAGTAACTACGTATTCTAGGTAGAGTTTTTCAAACTTCTTGGGGTGTCTAAATTTTAATGCTGGTGGTGAAATTAAACACTAAAACTGACTAAAAAGGAAAAAGTGATCATAGATTACAGAACTGACATGATTAACATATAGGCAAGAGAGCTTGGCACTCAGCCCTGGCACACTGCTTTACACCACGTCTATATTTTACATTTTTTGGTTTAGATTCTAAGTTCTAATGTAGAGTCGAGAAATCTGTGCATTTTATTTATTCACTGTGATTTGGAAAGTCAGCTTTCTTGAGTTTGTCCTAATCTCCTTTCCTGAATTAGAGTGTTCACCTCTAAAAGAGGAGCGATAGAGGTCATAGGTTCCAGGTACCCAGACATATTCTAAAGATATTTAGGTTAATTCTTCTTAGAAGATTTTGCTGGACTCTGCTGGTACTAAGTCCTTTTATATTATTGTTTGTGATACAATATGATGAAAGAAACTCATTACAGTTTCCTTTTCTTCTTACAGGAGAAGGATGATTTAGCTGATTTATTTTTTTAGTTGATTTTTTTATAGACTTAAGTTTTTTGTTATATTCACCATTACTTCCCCCAAATAGTAGCCGTTGCCTCAAAGATGCAGAGTAATTGAGAAACTCAGAGTTGAATCACTTGCTAAACTTAGTTCTTCCCCTTTGCATGACACTCACATTACCCTCTCCTGCCACTGACAGCATCTTTGTTTTTTCTCTTTCCAGCCCCCATTCTTTCTTTTCTAGCCATTCCCAACAGTTTCTAAAACATAGTCATACAATTCAATTAAATTATAGATTCACAAAAAAGTTATACTTAATTCTGTATAATTTTTTAAAAATCGCTTGCCACTGTGTTTATTTTGCCTTCTAATGGTTTGTACAGTTATAGGCAGTGGAACTAGGAATAATGGATTATTAGATTCTTCTGACAGGGAGAGGAAACCTCTGTGAACCCCCACGGTGTTAGATGTCTCAGCGCTCATTAACTTGGGTTGAGTTTGGCACATCATTACTTTATGTTGGAGGTGGCCACTGTTACGAATTTTGAAAAAGTGATCATAGTATAGTGAGTTATTCATTAATAACTTGCACCTATAAATGAAGAAGACTACAGGTTTCACACTATGTATTTTAGACTTTCTTTTTACTTTACTTAATAAAAAAGAAATTTTCAATTCAAATTTGATAACCAATTTGGAAATCATTAAAGTCCTAATGATGGAGTGTTACTTCCTCTCCAGGTGTTTGACCTTTTCTAAAAGACCAAGGGAAAATTATTATTATTTTAAGTAATAAAAGTTCTGAAGATAAAATTTTGTACCAGCATTTTTTAATCTTTACAGAGCTAACTGAAAATAGAAATATAGAGCATCAGCAGAGGTGGTGTTTTAGTCACATTCCCTGTAACTACTGTTTATTTTACAAAGGTGCTTGCCCCTGCCCCAATAGCTTTACTCTCAATATTTTAAACAGTAATTTCTGTTCATATTAAGCTGTATTGCTGCTGCTTACTAGGCAGCCGGTTGTACCCACTTCTCCCCAAAACACTAGTCTCATAAAATGTCAGGCCCTGGGTGTGGATCACCCCTAAGGTAAAACACTTTTTCTAGAGACTTTTTTGAAAAATCAACATAACCTTCCTTCTTTCTCTGCTTATAGAAATTCAAACTTCATGTTTAGATTTATTTTCTACTTAGTTGTTGACAAATCAATCTTCAGATGTGTTTGATTTAATTTTAAATAGGATTGGAGACGTGAACTTAAATACATTCAAAAGTGTTTGTGTCTCAAAAATCAGTTTTATGGAGGATTATATGTCAAATTTTAATTTCTCAGAGAAATAAGCAACAGTGAATAAATGACTGAACTCCTCTCACACTTCTGACATGTCCCACTTTTAGAATGTCGGAATATTAATGCGGGATGGTTGCTATCTTATCCTCATTATGCTGCCTCTTCTCACTTTCCTTTTTGTTCCTCCTCTGTCCTTCTTTCCCTACCTGTCAATTTAAGCAGCTCCCTGAGAAATGTGGCGGCAGGTTCTGTGGAAGGTTTTCGAGACTTTTCTGCCTTCTCTTCTCCTGCTAGATATAGCGCTGCAGTTCTGAGCGGTGCAGCCGCTACCGTGTCTGCTGCTCTTGCTGCGAAAACCAGGTAGAACTCACGTGCAGTGCCTGTCTGGTGTGACCCCAGCGCTTGCCACTGTCCCGCAGTCACCTCAGAGAAAACATGCCTGTTTGAAACACTCACAGCTCTATTACGAGATCTTAATTGTACTGGGGACGTTTTCTCTAGGTTGTGGATCTGTACATCCCACCATGTGTATTACTGATTTTTCTTTAAATTCTCCTTTTATCTCTTTCCGTTGCTACCATTTATATATAACACTTCTCAGTTGTGTGGATTGTTGCATGTTGTGTGCCTGTTGACTTTTGGGTTTTTATAATTTTTGGTTTTGATGTCTGGAACAGAATCAAGCATAAATAGGTATTTTAAGTTTCTATTGGTTTTATCTTTTCCCACAAACTGATTACATTTGAGGGTGATCTAAAGCCTAACTATTCTCTACAATACCCCTTCCTCCCAAAAAGGAACAAAACCTTTTTACTTTTGTGGAGTTTGGTTTTTACGTAATTTCTGGTAGTCTTTACTGTTTTAAATGCTTTCTAGAAGATGGCCTTGATCAGTCTTGGTGAAAAATTAATCAAGTCTATGCTAATGAGTAAAATAATGTGATAGACTCTTAGCCCTTCTTTGCTTCCAATCATAGACTGTGAAAACTTCTTTCTGCTGTTAGTAGTGTGATTATTCCGCTTAAATCTCTTTCTAAATGCTCACCAGGCTCTCCAGTCCTGAAAAATATCACTCCCTCCTGGATGCACTTTGCATCGGCCCTGTGTCCAAGCCTCTAGCTTTTTCTTATCTCCAGGCCTCGAGGAAGTCAACTGGCTCTATCCATGTTAGGAGAACAAGGTACCGTGGGAGGGGATGTCACAAGCGGTGGTTTGCTGTCAGAGACGCTGCTTTCTGTAACACTTAACCACCATATTAACAGGCCAGATGAGAAAATCCTAGAGCTGATTTGTGTCCAGTTTTAAATTAACTGTAATTTCACTGCAATGCAAATGCACAAGCACATTATTTTGTATGATTATTAACTAGCCTTTTAACCCTTTGTGACATCTTTTATTAGCACACTTGATGTTTGGTGTGAAATTATGAGTGAACCCTGTTTTTTATTGCATGGATGTAGCTGTACTAGAATAGTCACATGTTCAGTAAGATATACCTTTATACCTTTTGAAAAAATGAAGAAGAGTAAAATAATTGTGGCTGCTATCTTACAGTTTTTAAATATGAAGATTTTACTTGGGCAAACAACTTAATTTTCACTGTTTCTGGGAGATACTGAAACATAAATTGTTTTTTCTCCTAAATTTAACAATTATGCCAAAAATTATAGACATAATTAGAAAACTAAAATATCCAAAGTGTTTACTAAAGGTATAACCTGAATGAAATAACGGTATAGCATCATTTCTGACAGAACATAAAATTAATGGCAGAGGACAACCATGACTACAGTGAGTAAAAGCCTAGCATGACACAGGCTGCCAGTGATCACATGTTTGTATCCTATCCACTGTTACCGAGGTTTTCAATACAGTTCATTATAATGGTGGGTAACTTCTAAGGGAGGTATTTAAACAGGAAGAGAGATCATCGTACATTTTTCTCGAAGAAAAAAATACCTGAAATTATATTGTATTTGTGGGGTTGTGATTGTTTTGTTTTGTTTTTTTGAGGAAGATTAGCCCTGAGCTAACTACTGCCAATCCTCCTCTTTTTGCTGAGGAAGACTGGCCCTGTGCTAACATCCATGCCCATCTTCCTCTGCTTTATATGTGGATGCCTACCACAGCATGGCTTTTGCCATGTCTGCACCTGGGATCCGAACCAGTGATCCCCAGCCTACTGAGAAGCAGAACGTGCGAACTTAACCAGTGTGCCACCAGGCTGGCCCCAGTGATTGTTAAATGAACAGAAATCTGTCCTTGTCAGGGCTAAGTCTGCACAGAGACAGGTTACTGACCACGCTTGGAATTAAAGTTCCCTTTGAGAACCTAATGGAATCCTCTACATCCTCTCCCCAGAAAAGCACCTATTGCATTTTTTTTTAACTAAATGGCCAATGGTGTATTTTGATTGACATCAAATGGAAATGGGACAGGGAAAAATACTGGTTCTGTGAAAAAACCCCTTTCTCCATTCGTGGCATGCTCATTCAGCTCTTATCTTTTATTCTAGTAAATTATTTTGCTCTCACTATTTAAGAGAAAAAGAACAACATAAAAACCCTTGCATGTCTTATTTGATTGGGGAATTTTATTGTTTTTCATTTATCATTGTAAAACCAAGGGTAATTTTATAACTTTTTTGTACATAGCTATTACACGTAGGGCAATCTGTCTTTAGGAAGGGATAGATTACTCTAAAAGAAATGAATCCGAGATAGTTTTCCCTTCAATTCAGGCATGTTGTTGTTTAAATAAACCCTTGTTTAAAAAAAAAAAAAGGTGAGCTTGCAGTTATGGACTAACTGAAGCTATCCATGGACCCACTCCTAGAGCAAGTCTTCGTAGTCATTATCAGTACTCTTTATTTATAGCAATAGGCACACACTAAACACATTTTGATATGTGGGAAAGGGAAATGGTCTTGACAAGGTAAGCCAGTGGCGTTCTGGAAGGCGGGAACGCAGGGTTTCCTGAGGAGACCTTGCTGACTCAATGAGAAGGGTTCCAGAAAGAGCTGTCGGGATGGTGTCAGAGATATTATATCTGATCTTTTGCCTTTATGTGATGATAATCTCTAAAGTTATAATAAAGTATAGTATAACAACAAACTTGTTTGTTTCTATTGTAGTATATTTAGCATTTTGAATTTTGGTACAAAAAGTCTAAGTTAAAGAATTTTGCTTAGGAAGATACAAAAAATTTTCTTATAAATACAGAATCCTGGAAGGAAGGAGACTCATGACTCCTCTATATGTCTAGGTCCTTTTTAGAATTCTGACAGAAGAATTCTATTAAAATAAAAAGATGCTTACAATTATACCTTTTGAGAAATATCCCTTCCCTACTACGTCAGAGTCTGTGTATTAGTATATCAATCTTTTGTAAGCCTTTAGCTAAAAACTGTTTCATTTAAACTTTGATAATTAAACCTACAATGTACAGTTGGCTTTTAAAAAATTTAAACAGGTAATTAGGATAAAACTTCTAACAAAAGTTTTTCCTTTGAAAGTAGGTTTAAAATTTCCAACTGCTCCTAATCTGCAGCTGAAGTTTACTTGTTGAAATAGTTAAACAAATGTGGGAAAGGAATGTAAACTCAAGATAAATCAGGTTACTGACACTGAAAGTTAACTTTTCTTCCTTTTTCTCTTTTCCTCATTAGTTCAGTTTTGAAAAGAAACCTTTGATACTTTAGTATATTTTTCTCCATTTTCAGTTTTTGAAATTTGAAACAAAAACTTTGGTATTCTTGAGATGAAAGTCGTAGTAACTTAAAATTTCGCTTCAGTTGCTTATCCATGTGGCAGACTGATGACAGTGACTATATTTGATTCTTAGCTTCTGTGGTATTAGCCAAGTGCATTTATGGATTTACTCTGGTTTCCTCATTAAAATCTTGTAGAAAGCATTTTAATTTTGTTTAGAATTTAGGTATACCTTAAACAAATTAAATTTAGAAAAAATATATATGCGTCATATTTCAGAAATAAGATACCAATCTCATTTAAGTAATCATGCCATACTATACTATATTAATGTTAGTCATTAATTTAAAATATTTTGCTCTTCGTGATTATTAATAATATTTTATTCCAAAATATAAAATAATGTGTCCAATGACTTTATTAATTCTTTAATCTTTAGTATATGATACCTAATGTTTCTGTATTTTCTTTAAATAGTAGCTAATAACTATAAATTAGAAAAAAAGTCAATAGATTTTTAGAGACCTAGACATCGTATATTCGGATATGTGATTGTCTAGATAAAACCTAGTGTTCTTCTATTACTACGTTAAATGTTTTAAGTAAATAGAGATCAGTTTCCCTGGAGAATATTGAACTCCGCTGATCCATACTGAATTTAAATATAAATGGAACAACTTTCTTGCTCATAACTTAGATTTTTACAAGTTCTTTATAGTATACTGCACACCCTTTGTATCTAAAGAGTACTGTTTAAGATTTAAACGTCTTAGGACTTTTGGGAGAGAATGTATACAAGACTGTGCAAAGGATACAATAAAAAATGAAAATATTTTTTGACTTATGAGATATTTATTGCATGGGAATTTTAAGAAATATTGTGTGTTATTTAAAATTGAGTTGAGGAAGCAAGATTGTGTCTGATCCCAAAATTCTGGATCAAAACTATCCACAAGCTACATTTAGAAGCAAAATTATTAGTAAGATTAGAGGTGTTTATTAGTAAATGTACATATCGCTAGATATCTGAGCTAGATGTCACAGGATGTATCATTTCTTGAGCATCAGCTCTGTGCTCAGCACTGTGCTAAGTACTTTACATGTGTCATCTCATTGTATTTTGTATAATCCTAACAATAACCTTGGAACAAAGGTAGTATTTTTATCTCATTTTACAGATGAGGAAACTTACCAAGTTTAAGTAACCTACCCAAGGTCATAGCAAATGCCCCAAACTCAGATAGTTTATAATGTAGAGGTAGAGATGAGATATATAAAGTGGTAGAGTGTGGACGAGATACATAAAGAAGTTACTAGTAATTTTTTTAAATCCTCTCTATTATGAATCGAAACATAACTGTATGCCTCACAGTTAATATGTGCCATGAATTGAAAGAAGGAGTGTCTGTACTTCAAGAAGATTGAATGATTAAATAAAATAATATATGTTAATTGCTTAGCATGGTCCACAGTGCATGATGGATGTTTTTGTTACTGCTACTACTATTAATTATGGATAGGATTTGGACCGGTGCGGAGGGGGAGTGGGAGGCACGCCGTCTATGTAGAGCCTGGAGAAAATGTAGAATGGCAGACAGAGGAGAGGGAAGGTCAGAATATCGTTTGTATAGCAGAGTGGGAAGAGATAGGATTGGAAGGTTGGTTGTAACTACATCTTAGAAAGCTTTAGGTGTCATGCTGAAGTGTAACTTGGCCCTCCACCCTCTACGATATCTCCATCCTCTGCTTGAGTACCTTCTGGAGAGAGGCCTTTCACAAAAGGGGTTGTTAGGAAACAGATTTTTTCCTTTGGAGGATTTTTCATATTGGAAACTACTTCCTTTCGTTGAACCAAACTGTCTCATGGCAGATTGGATTCGACGTTAGCAAACAGAATATAGCCACACTGAGTGGATCCACATGTCACGTGTGTGAGAACTGTTCTTAAACGTCTCCTGAGTTTTCTTCATACGCTGGGTCAGTATTACCAGTTCCCTCAACCCGACTTCACTAGGCTTGGCGCTAATTTCCTGTCATCCTGCTCACTTTTGTCTAAGTAAGGTTGTCTGGCAACTCTCCTGGAATACCTTTTAATTCTCTCAGGTTATTAAACATTAAATGATGATTTGGGTTTTGTTATTATTTCCAGACTATATTTTTGTTTTGTCTGTAACTTATAATATTGGTCATAAATTTTTCTTCTTAGAACTGTGACTATATGGATTATTAGTTATTTTTTTCAAATCTACATGAGTAATTAACCCTAGAATTAAAATAACCTGTATTTCTCTGTTACTTTCAGAAGTCATTTATTTGTAATGTATAAAAATATTGAAAATGTCTTTTATTATTTGAATACATTAATTATCCTTTTCACATGTTAAGCTCGTATTCTGTGCCTTAGACTGTGCTAAGTACTTTGTACATAATTCTCTTTTTTAAGCCTCATGGAACTCTTATGAGCAAAGTATTAGCACCATTTAAAGTTTAGGTAATTGAAGCTTAGAGAAGTAAAATAATTTGTCCATCACAAAGCTTTTTATTAAAAGGCACTATGCCATAATGCTTAAACTCTGTCTCATTAATGTTATTTATTGTGTCATCTTTATTGATTCTTGTGTCATCTTTATTGATAATTTTGTTCATCATTGCCATTAAGTAAGCAATTTTTCACTTTTTATTTATGATAAAAATTATTAAAGTGCTTAAATTTTTCATTTTATAGTATGTTGACATCAACTAAGTTTTAGTTTTTCATTAAACTGATTAGAAATAGTAAAAGAATTTGATAGCTCTATTACACTTGAATTTGAGAGAACGATAATGGGGAACAATGTTTCAAGAAAGTTAAAATAGCTCCAGTATGATTTTTCAAAACTGTTTAGTGTCAGAGTTGCCCCAAGACCACCTCCAGGTTTGCTGATTGACTAGGGGACTTAAAGAATTCAGTATATAGTTGTACTCATGGCGAAGATTTATCATAGCGGAAGAATACAAAGCAAAGTCAGCAGGGAGAAAAGGTACCTGGGGTCAGGTCCAGAAGAAAAGAGGCCGAAGTTTCCAGAAGTCCGCTCCCAGTGAAGTCACACAGGATGTGCTTGATTCCTGCAGCAGAGTTACGACAAAATATGCAAAGTGTTGTCTACCAGAGAAGCTCATTGAAACCAAATACTTCAGGCAAGGTTTTTACTGGCACTTGTCACACAGGCACTGTGTCTACTTCATACCAAAATTCCAGGCTCTCAGAAGACAGCAGGTGTTTAGCATAAACCACGTTGTTTATATAGTTTAGGCACAGTGAGCCTCTCTTATCTTTTTTAGAAAACTCTATGTGCCTATAGGGAGCTGTTTACAAGCCAAGTTCCCAAATGCCAGTCAGAGGCCAACCTTGTACGCAGGCCTTCCTGAGCATGGGCAGCCTCGGCCTTCTTTGTTAGGTCTCATCCGAGATGCGGGAGGCACTGGGGAAGTTAGATGTTCTTGTTCATTTGGGAGTGTAGTGGACTTGAGTGAACTGGAAATTCTCTTGGTAGAAATAATCTCAATCTAGACAGTATAATTAAGCTTATTTATTTTAGTGAAGTTATTAATATAATATCCTATCTTTGTCAAGCTGTTCTTCTGGCTGTCAGTTTCAGCTGTTGAATGAATTGAGTTTCTCTGCATGGAATTATTTAAGTAGTCAGTACCTCAATTTCTATTAAAAAGTTAGTAGGATGTATTATTATCGTTATAGCAACATTATTATTAGTATTATTTTATTATATATTATAATAGTAACAATATTATTAGTGGTATTAGCATTATAATACTTCACTTGAGAGAAACTGCTATGGTATTGTATCATTCCGAAGTGCATATTTTATAATGTGAGCTACCTAAAATTGTTTTTTCGGGAAATGATGATTTATAATTATACATAACAAATGACTGGGTAATAAAAGCCATATGATCGGGGCCAGCCCCATGGTTGAGTGGTTGGGTTCATGCGCTCCGCTTCGGCAGCCCAGGGTTTCACCAGTTCGAATCCTGGGCGCAGACGTGGCACTGCTCGTCAGGCCATGCTGAGGCGGCATCCCATGTACCACAATTAGAAGGACCCACAAGTAAATGTACAACTGTGTACCAGGGGGCTTTGAGGAGAAAAAGGGAAAATAAAATCTTTAAAAAAAAAAAGCCATATGATCTTAGAAATCAAACTAGAACCAGCACAGATAAGGCCTCCTATTAAGCTAATAACTCTGATTGAGAGAGGACAGTGGCAGTCTCGTCTCTCGTCTTCCTGTTGTATGAACACAGAACACTGGATGTTCTGTTGGGCTGGGGATGTTGTCTCTCGTTTACTGCTGTGTGGCCCGTGCATGGCACAATGTTTGGCGTATAGTAAGTGCTTAAATATTTACTGAATGAATAAGTGACTGAGTGAGAATGTGAGTGAAAAGAGTGACTTGTGAGATGTCAGGGAAACTGAGTTCATAAAATCTTAGAAAAATGTGGAAAGGGGAAAAGAAACACCTGTGCCATTTCATAGAGGTTATCAGGGATTCTCCAATAATTGATTGTTTTAATCTAGATGACTCTTCTGAAATGTTGCAATCAAGAGGAATAGGAAGAGGAAATTAGCTTATTATTTAAAAGGATTGACTGTATAAGTTTTTCAATAGCCTAATTTCTCATGGTAGACCTTTTGAAGAGAATTTCCAAAATATTGAACAAATGCAATCTGACTCTTTTCCTTCTTTTTTTCTTTTCTGTTTTAAAGAGGCAGTCCCTCAGTCATGGTTTTAGTGTTTTTCTTTTTTAAAATATCAGTTAATGAATGTTTTTGTTTTCCTTAGAGATTTCATAGATTGAGGAAAGAAGGTGTAATATTACTAAGTCAGATTGCTACCATTTCACCAAAACGTTTCCTTATTTTCTTTCCAGCAATACCCAGGAGCCTTCTCAGCAGCTGCCTGTGTCCGTGGCTTCGGCACGGAGCATGCCCGAGAGGCCGGCGAGCCCAGCCTCCGCCAGGGCAGGGGTGGCCAGCCTCACCACCGCTGCCGCCTTCAAGCCTCTGGGATCCAGCAGCGCTGTCAAGTCTCCGGGCTGGCAGCGGCCGCACCAAGCAGGTGCGCCAAAGACATCTCTCGCCTTAACTGTAATTATGAAAATGTGTTCTGGGATATATGATAGAATTCACTGATGAAACCTATTTTCAACCATCTAAGATTTTAAAAGGACTGCAATGAATTGCTATGTGTTTTTCTCTCTGAAGTGTCTCATAAGTCTCTGTGTGTGTTTCATAGAATTGTCATTTGCTTTTCATCATTATAGAGTTGAGTGTTTCCTTATTTCCTAGATTACTCAGGGAGCACATGTTAAATTGTAAATTTGGGGTCTTCTTAACAAACAATATTGTTGGAAGGTAGCCTTGGTAATACAGTGTTTTAGTTTTGATGATACATACAAAATAACAGCAGAAGCATTTATTGCCATCAAATAGTTACTGAAGCAAGGATCTTTTACTACTTGTCCTCTGCAGATTTACAAGGCAGATGCAGAAGGAGGACATGTTACTAGACAGAGAACGTTTGAATGATAGGATGGAACAATTTGGGCTCAATCTGGAAACCTGAGTCTTCATTCACTTCTACAGATAAATAGCTTTAAACAAAGTCACTTAACCTCTTTGACCCTCTGCAAAATGAGGGGAGACTGAATGATCTCCTGTTTCTCCCAACATGAAGAAAATTTATGGTAAAGGACTGTAGTGCCTCCCTTAGCAGGAAGATGGGACTGTGTGTAAATGCTGCAAATCCCGCCTCGGCCTTCGTCCCTGCCCACTCTTAACATTCTCCCTGGATGGTCTGTCCTCCCGATTCCTTCTACTGCCTAACCACTGATAATTGACAGTCCTCTCTCTCCTGAACTCCGTATCTGCAAACTTGTTGACCTGCTTGCTGTTTCCAGGTGGCACCTCAAATGCAGCATGTCCAAAAATATCATGACCCCTCTCTGGGAGTGGTCCAGCCACCCCGTCACCGGAGCTAGAATGTAAGCCTGTGACCCCCCTCCACCCCCTCGTCTCACAGTAACTGACACCTCATGATTCCACTTCTTAGTATTTCTCAAATTATTTTCTCCTCTCTGTGGGCAGAGCCATTACCTTGGTTCAGGCCCTTGTCATTGCAAACAACTTCTAACTAATTTGCTGTCTCCTCTCACCCCACCAGCCTGTCCTCTGCTCAGCCAGTGGTCTTTATAAAGCTCTGATCTGCCCACGTCACCCTCCCGCTGCAGATGCTTTCCTGTATCTCCCATTCCTTAATTTACCACTTAAGACCTTTTTCGCTCCAGCCTCTGCTAACCTCTCAGTCTCGTCCCCTGCTTCTCCCAGTTTATAATCTGTGCGGTGGTCTTACGAGACATGCCACCTCACCTAGCTTTGAGAGTTCTGTCTCTGCAGAGAACACACCTTTTTACCTCGTCTCCTGTATAATTCTAGTCTTTCCTCATCAGCTGTGGGATGAGATTGATTGAATACACAAGGGGCTGCTTTTAAAAATATAATAGTTTTAAGAATTGGTCATTATTATTAAGAATATTTTTTACAGTTGCAAGTGTGGATTTTTAGTTAATTTAATGAGGAATCCACCTTTGTTTTGTATTTTCCATAGTGTTTAAATATATTAGATACTAAAAACTTCATTTATTATAAATAAGTTATCTTTAGAAAAAATGCCAACTATTTATATAGTTAAAATTTATTTTCTAGTGTGATTTTGTATAGTTTTGAATTACATTACAAGTTACTAATTTTGCAAAGAAGCTTGAAGTTTTGTGCTGTGGGGGTAGGAGGGTAGGGCGCTGCATGCCATCTAGACTATTGTAAAGAAAAGACTAGTTTATTACTTTTGAAAACTTAAAATATTTAGACTAGTATCACTAGCTTTTGAAATTTCTGGACTATTAATTAACTTAGCAAGACTTATTCTCATGGGAAAAAATGCTGACAGCTCAGCCTCATACATTTTTAGTTGTTTCCATCCACTTAAAGCTTATCTATGATGCTGGAGATTTGCTGTAATTATTTTGTATGTGCATTAGTATACAGAAAGTAACTTTCAGAACAATTCCTTTGGCATGGTAATTGGAAGGGAACAGGAGAATGTGTCCTAAAAAAGCAGGGAAAAAACTAAATTTCTGAGATGGAAACTGAAGAGAAAGGCACAAAGTACTGTGGAGGGCAGAAAGTCTATGTACTGCTTTGGGAAATTCAGAAACTAAGGTCAAAATACCACTGCCTATTAAAATGAAAAGATTCCAATCGATGTGGAACTCCTGGAGAATACACTGCAGCAAAACTACCACAAGAGGGCGACAGAATTCTTTCTTCTCTGAGTCTAACTTGTTACAGTCATCAAAGCAGGCAAATAACACAACTATGATCGTGATTCACATGGTTAGTATTTAAAATATACTTTTTACAGAAAATTAAGTCAATTTAATTTGAACAGCTATAATAGTATAAAACATATACATTATATAACGTTATAAAGCAATATTATAAAAAGAAAATGAGTTGCCACTGTGAAGTCATAGCTGAATTACATCATGATGCTTAGCTCAAATCAGAAAATATTTGCAGAACTCCTGCTGTTTATCTTGCTGTAGGTGCTTCAAACTGGCCTTTAATGAGTCATCATGTTATAGAAAAGTTACTCATTTTACACTATTTCGTCTAAGTTCTAAAATAAATATGAAATTCCCAGCCGCTCAAATTCTTTCATTCTGCTCTACCATAGTAGAATATATCATAGCAGTATACCATATTTGAAAATGGAAGGAAAACACCTCAGGATCTCCCCTTAGTCTTTGACAAATAGTTTCAGGAGCTTCCTACTGCAGATGAAAAAGGTCTTTGGTTTAGGAGGTGATGGCTGTCTCATCGTGGGTTCTTATGTTCTTCACACTCCTGTGAAAACTGCAGTGCCAGCCAGAGGGCTGCGGAAGCTGGGAAGGTGAGTTGCTGGCCTCTGTGGCCTGAGATGCAGCACTAACACTGCTGGCACTGCTGCTGCCACGCTGGGCACTTCAGGCTTCTTTCTCTAGAGAATTCCTCGCTGTGCTCTAGTCTGGGTGAAGAAAAAGATTTTTTACCCCTCTACCCAACCTACACCAAAGAGTGCCTGTTACCAGCGATGTCATTTTAAAATAATTCTGCAGTCCAGTGGGAAGCATGGGCTCGAAATCCCTGAAGTGCAGTCTGTGGCCCACTTAGGTGATTATGAAATCAGTTTAATGGATCATGGCCAGTATTTTTATAAGCAGTGAAATAGAAAATATAAGAATGTTTTAACTTATTAAGTATTTTAGCTTAGTATTGTATAGTAATGAGGATAGGTATTAAGCTATGAAAATGTGGTTTTAGTTTATGTATATGTAAATATACATGTATACACACATACAAACATATATTTTGGGTCAGGAGGTAAAGTGTATTTCTTACTGTGTTTTATAGTTAAGAAAAAGTTTAAAAGTCACTTATTTAAATAAGTATTTTAGTCATACTTTTATCTATTGGGTAACAACTAATGTAGTTTTGAAACGATAGCCAAAAAAAAGACTGCATTGAAAGGGCTAATTGAAATTTTAAGACCTACTAGCATATTCTGAACCTGTCATGGGTTTCTCTTACCTCCACTGAAGTTCTGACTTTCAACCTCAGGTCATTTCACTTGTGGTGTTGTATAGCCTGTGTTACGCAGAAGTCTTAGAAGAATGCAGGAATGCTGTCATAGGAACTAGGTGTTTATGTGCAGCATGATAGTTTAGATTGGATCATCTTCCTTTCTTTAGGCATATAGTTCAACATACAATGACTGATAAAGAGCTGAATATTCAGGATGCAACATGTTCAAAAGTTCCTAGTCGGCATGAAAGTATCAAGATACAAAAGAAGTAAGACTCCAAGCTTGAGTTGTAGATAAGTCAGCAGTGCTACCTCCTGCTTGCCCCGTGTCTTTGGTAATACTTCCGTAATTCAGGTGCAGTCATCCCTTTAGAAACATTGACTTGATCTAGAAAAATACATAAAAGGTGAGATTTTTCTTGTTATTTTTCAGAATTGGGGCTTTGTACTTTTTTTTTTTTTTTGAGGAAGATTAGCCCTGAGCTAACATCCGTGCCCATCTTCCTCTACTTTATATGTGGGACGCCTGCCATAGCATGGCTTTGATGAGCGGTGCCATGTCCGCACCCAGGATCCGAACCAGCGGACCCTGGGCTGCAGAGGCGGAGCCTGCGAACTTAACCACTACGCCACATGCCAGCCCCTGTACTTTTTTAAACTTATATTTTAATTCACTATGTTTGTATGTCTAGTAGATTTTTTTAATGTTTGAAACCTTCATATTGTTTGTAAGTAGATAGAGATTTTCAAAACCTTTCTAAATATACTGGTATAAGTTTAAAAATACGTTCCTGTGTTTATGTAGGTGACCTAATTTGCTATGTAATGTTTTCTCTAGATTCTGATTAGGTTATGGATACCAGATTAGGTAATTTTTGTTCATTTGATGCAAATATACATATAAAATATTGCTATCTTATCAAATACAATCAGATGTTTTTCACGTATCCAGTCTTAAAGTCCTGCAGAGCTGTTATATGTTGGAAGCACATCAGTTTTCTAACTTTAGTTTCATTATGCACACAATGAGAGTGACTAATTCATTAGAACATAAACAGTGTTTTGCTAGGTCAGGCTTATTGTTCGTTGCACCCAGTTTGCAGACAGTGGTGGCCCTGAAGGATAGCAATGCCTGTCCTGTGGGGTGCGAATTTCAGAAGGCCAGGGATGTTCCCCGAATGGAGTATTTTGAGCCTTCAACTTCTTTATGTCTTAAAGTAAGGATCTAAAAAAGTCACCTGTGGCACTGTTGTGTAGCTTAAATGATGTAACATGTTGAAGTGCTTGGTACATAAAGGGTACTCAAGAAAGCTTAAGTTTTTACCCCTATAGAAGGTATAACCTTGTAGTGACAGCATTCATAACTTACAGTGTTACCATCCAACAGAACAGTTCTCCTCATGTAACTTCCCTCCTTGAGAATGTTTTGGGCTCTCT